CAATCAAACTAACAACTAGACACTCAGTTCCTTGATCTTCAGTGATATCCTCCAACAACCACTCAATTCCTATATTCACACTCAGACACCTTACAATCACTAAAATGGTTCTCCCTCTGAGGTCCCTTTATCGACTTTGGGACCAAAATACTGGCTTTCCCAAGTATTTTCATCTCATTGTTCTTTGACCTCACCAGATCTCCAGTCCATTCCTTCCTTTTTTTATTCTCCTGCCTTCACTTCCCTCCTTCTAACTCAGATTTCTCTCTTACAAGTACCTTAACCTCCCTTATCCCATTACTTATTCATTGAACACACTTGAAAAATCCCAATAATTCTAATTCTAAGTTTAATTCTTCTTATTCTTCTTCTTCCCCTCCTCCTCTTTGGTTTGAACTCAATAAAACCCCAATTCTGAATTAACCAACTAACCACTTTCTCTATGTCATATCCAGGATCTTAAATTGCTGGAGGAAAAGTCACAGAACCTGATTGTTGGATACCACAACATGAACACCAACCTCAACTGGATCCACAATCCAGCCTGAAAACTTTACATTTCTCTATACAAACATCCTCTTTCACTTTTCAAAGTTTTTCTTTCGACCACCTGTCATTCACTTCCCACCCTCATACCTCTCCCTATATTCTCCTTCCCAGAGAAGACAGACCAGATAGGAGCCACCTATCTTCTTCCTTCCCTTCTATTACAATGGAAATGTCTTCTTATCACAGGCAGATCACTTTGCTTGTGGGCTAAATCCTCTTTCTGGTACCTTCACTCTCTTCCTCATAAGGGTGTGTGCTAACTAAGCCCCCTCCCCTTACGAATAAGAGTCAACTAAGTAAAAGAAGGTAATATGGAAAAGCTATATACTGTATAATTCCAAGTATGTGACATTCTGGAAAAGGTGAAACTATGGAGACAATAAAAATATCTCTGGGGAGTTTTGAGGGAAGGAAAGAATGGTGGAGCAAAAGAGCTTTTTAGGGCAGTTCATCTACTCTGCATGATTTAAAGGTGGATACATATCATTATACACATGTACCACACCAAGAGTGTACCTTAATGTAAATTAGGAAGTTTAGGTAATAATGATGTGTCACTTCAGTTCACTGATTGTAATGAAGGTAACCCTCTGGCATGGGATGTTGACAATGAGGGGGCACAGGCAGGAGATACATGAGAACTCTGCACTTCCCATTCAATTTTGCAATGAATTTGCAACTGCTCTAAAAATTTAAGTCTAAGGCTCAGGGTATAGCTCAGTGGTAGAGTGCTAGCATGCACAAGGCCCTGGCTGGGTTCAATCTCTAGCATCACTCAAAAAAGTATAAATTCAGGGGGAAAAAAGCCATCTTTCAACTTCCTTCAACTGTTCACATGTCCCTTTACAAGCAAACATATTAGAAAGCTTACCTATGTTCTCTCTCTTTTTTTTTTTTTTTGGCAGTACTGGGATTTGAACTCAGGGCCTCATGCTTGCTAAGCAGGCACGCTTACTGCTTGAGTCATTCCTCCAACCCTTTTCCTGTGATTTTTTTTTCCAAGGTAGGGTCTAGAGAACTATTTGCCCAAGACTAGCTTTGAACCCCGAATTATAGGCGTGACCCACCAGCACCTGGGTGATCCCTATCTCTTAAGTACTCACCTCGCATTTGCTCTAAGTTACGTATCCGTATGGCTTATGGCTTTCGTTCCTACTACTACACCCAAAGCATTCTCTAAGGTCATCAATGGCTCCATTGTCACTGAATCCAATGGTTGCTTTTCAACGGCATACTAAATTGACCATTTAGTTTCTTCTGGAACTACTTCCCTTAAATCCTAGGACCTAACACTAACCTGACTTTTCACCTACCTCTCTAGCCATTTCCCCTCTCTCCCTTTTCAGGCCCATCTTTTTCACTGTAAACATTCCTCAAGAGACCCAGGCCTGGGTCCTCTCCCCTCTCCTCTTCTGAACTTTCTCCTTAAGAGATTTTTCCTCTTTCCTCCACTCACAGAGACAAACTTATCTACACTCAAACCTGGAAATTTTTTATCACTACCCAAGGCTTATATTCTGAAGGCAAGAACCATATAAGCCATCTACTTATATGATATCCCCACTTGGATAGCTTAAAAGTATCTCAAACTGGCACATTATAGGTAAAATAAATTTACTGATCTATGTATAATTCCAGAGTAACACTATCCTTAGCTGTCACCACTGACAGGGGAGACATTTTCAATTAGAAATGCTCTCTTGCTTACTTCAAATCATTTTACAGGTAGCCTATCTGAGGCCATCACCACTAACAGGTAAACATATATAGTTCCTAGAACTGGCATTCTAATAATCTAATGACATAGTGACAGCTCAAAACTTTATCCAAACAGCTAAATACTTTGGGACACAGATTTAAAAAAAAAAAACAGTGCTTTCACAAGTTTTTGCAGTCAAGTTTTTTCTAAAGCAAAAAAAGATGACATGGGTTTTAGGTATTTAACATTAAATAATATCTTGTTTTAAGATAGGAAAATTAAATTGTTCTATTATGCAGCTATTCTTTACTATTTCAATTATATAAAGGTAACGTGACAAACTGAAGCATATAGCATTTAACATATATTAAGTATCACAAGCACTGAGGAACAGATGGCAAACGATCAAGAAATTGCCACTAGTATCAGTTTCTGTGCTCTAGAGACTAATACAGTACAACTCTCAAAGACAGTCCCTGAAATCCAATGCTATAACCCCTCATCATAAATCACAATCATAAAGTCGAACGTGTTTCCCATCAGAACAACTGGAAGTTGTTTCTGCCAAAGCACTCAAAATAAAGTAAGCTGAGCTAGATGAATGTGAATAAAAGTCAAAATTCTAAGTACATTGTATACATGTATGAAAATGTCATAATGAAACCCATTATTTTGTAAAATAAAAAACTAAAAAAGAAGTATACATTAAACCCAAAATTAAAACGAATTCTTATCTCCAATTTAAAGATGCAGTAATCCTACCAGTTAATTTAAAGAAAAGTTGCCATGAATAGTATGAAATCTGATCTCTCTCACTAGTTTCACTGAGCAAAAAGGCAAGCAAAATTATTCTTTACAAAGTCTGCAGTGACTTTTCTCTACCACTAGATGGTAGTATCATCTTCAGAAACACAAAAATTACAATGGGAGCTGGCTATAGTAATTAGTACATATTAATCACCCTTATCTCAAATGTCTTATCTCAGTATGCTCATCTACTTGCATTAATCACAACATGAGTCTTGCTCCTCAGCTGTTAATATATATGGCACTACAATCTCAAAAGAGTATCACATGAATATGCCACTAAGTTCTGAAGAAATAAAAGGTAGGAAAGCTTACACATTAGCTTTTTTTTTCTTTTGTGGTGCTACGGATGGAACCCAAGGCCTGGTGCATGCCAGGCAAGGGCTCTACTACTGAGCCACACCCCCAGCCCCTATTTATAACCTTTCACAAAAGATTTTGGGTCTGATTCTAGGGTTAAGTGAAGAAAAACAGAAGGAAAGACGTTTAAAGATTTTCAGTCTACTTTATCACTCCAAAAGCATTTTGTTCTTTCAGTTTACCTTAGAACAGTAAAAAGACTGAATTTTTAATTTGATTTTAATTGTACATCTATATAGGGCCAGGTATAATTCAATATTTATATAAAATATGTAATGATCAAATCAGGGTGGTTAGCATTTCCATCTCCCAAATCACTTCTTTTTAGAATTTTTGATTAACACATAATGACTGTACATACTTTTGGGGTACAGTGGTATTTCAATACAATATGACTGTACTTTTAAGCCAGCAGGCTAACGTAGCTGGATAAATCTGGAGTTCAGTACTATAAAAGCCAAGTCTAGAGATCAAAAAGAGGCATCAATTTGATTACATTAACACCAAAAATTATGTAAGTCTTTATAAAAGAAACAATGTCCTAAAACAATATGCTTAGTCCATTTTAATTTTAAGCAGCATGTTTTCAGAAGCTAACAAAAAAAGTAAAGATCTCTAATCTAAATGAAGGAATAGAACAATCTCAGGTTAAATCAAATCCATCTTATATTTCTACTGAAAGTTTCAAAACCATCTGTTCAAAAAGGTTTGAAATAAGTCAGAATTCAACTGAGAACTTTCCCATACCTTTTAAAGACCAAGTACAACTTGGCTAACTATAATACAAACATGACTAACCTGATTTTGTATAAATTTAATTGGAAACAAACTATAAATTAACTTCAAAGATTTCTATTTTAAATTTAGTTACTTGTTAACATGTCTATTTTTTTAAGTACAGTAGTCCCTACATACCAGTGAGGACTATGTTTCAAGATCCCCACCAGTGGATGCCTGAAACCATGGATAGTACTGAACCTTTGTACACTACTTCTTTCCTATATATACCTACTTACGGTGAAGTTTAATTTATAAATTAGGCACAGTAACAATAATAACTAATAATAAAATAGAACCATAATAATATACTACAATAAAACTGATTTAAAACTTATGAATTGTTTATTTCTAGAATTTTCCATTTAATATTTTTGAACTGCAGCCAGGAGTAACTAAAACTGCGAAAAGTAAAACCATGGATAAGAGTACTATAATGTGATTAAAAATTTAACAGAAAGCCTGGTGATCATAAAATATCCCAGTATTCCTAGGTTCACATTATCCATATTATCTGATGGAAGCAGGGATTCCCATCATCACCCTTATAGGAACATGCTACTCCTAGCATCATTTTTTTCTAAAGTGAAATAAATTTTCAACATATACTTTATAAGATATTCAGGATAATATTTTTTTCTTAAAAATTTAATTCTTCACTATGTACATTAGTTTAGACTGATGCTTTTCCTAATTCCTCTAAATGTATTTAATATTGATATGTCTTATGGTAAAAATGAATATAAAACTAGTACTCATATTTTATTCAAACTCCTTTTTGCAACTGGGAAGTGGTTGAATGACATACCTTCAGAGTTATGTGCAGTTTTCTTGTGTTTTCGACAATAAACCCTATGAAAAAAATGAAATATAAAAAAATTACAAGGTATGCAAACTAAATTAAATTCATTTTTCAAATTAGGAAAATGAGAAATACACTTTACCCCATTTGCAAAGTAGATTTAAAAAATCTTATTATGAAACTTCCTACACCACTTCTTTAAGGATTCAATTCCTTATAAACACCCTTTATGATGATGATGAAACACTTTGAAATGGGAAGAATATTTTACAAGAGCATATGATTGTTTACAAAAACTTATGGACAAGTTGAACAATTACATGTAAATTCCTTGTGAAGGTTTCTCTCGGATTTGAGCTTTATCATGCAATGCACAGTGGTAGTGGTATGTCCTGTGACATGTTTTCACATCACAACCAATTGTTGCTCCAGGACAATGGCACAAAGAACACATCTATAGAAAAACAACAAGAATAGTATTATTAGTATGCAATTTTGCTAAGAATGTGATTAACAGGTTAGAGGCATATCAACTGCTGTCAGGAAAAAAACTGATTACTGGAAATTTTTGTAATTAATGTTATTTTTCTTATTTTCCCTTCTAGAAGTAATTTGAATAAAATTATTCCGATGGTATTTTTCTTATGTTAAACACTGATGAAATAACTGGAATGCTAAGAGAAAACTTTTTCCCTCCAAATGTCCACTTAATCAAAATCATCACTGAGAATCTCAGAAAAAAAAAACCTTTAGGAACCTGGCAAAATTAATTTGAAGTGAGGGAAGTAAAGAGGAAAAAAGAAATAGTTTTTTTAATACCTCAAGCTCTGAGAGTATTTTGTGATGTCATGTTGATTACACTGCAAAAATACGCTCATCTACTTCAATTTAATCTATGTTTCTTATCTCTTACATTATGAATTCAGGTAAACAGAGAGAAGAACAGATTCTTTCGACATATTTTAATAAGCCTTACCTTCTGAATTTATTGGATAATTCATACTGATTAATTGGGTCATGTTCTCTATTTAGGAAAAATTATTTTTAAAAAGTATACAATGATTGTTCATGGTTTTGGTTCACATATTTTAATGTACTGTACTTAGTGGACTTTTAATGAGGCTATCTCCTAAGCTATAAACACCATACAAAAATAAATTCACAGTAAGGTAAAACTAAAGAACTGCTGTTGCTAGATACCCTGTTTTAAACTCTGGAGTATGCTTGTGATCCCAGCATTCAGGTGGCTGAGGCAGTGGGATCACAAGTTCAAGGACAGCATGGGCTACATAGTGAAACCCTGTCTGAAAACCAAACAAACAAAAAACAAAACGAAATCTCAACATTTACTATCCTAACTTTTGGATTACTTGGCACCTAAGCAATTTTGGTATACTAATATAAATTCTAACGAAATTTTTTACATTTCTCTAAGCAAATCAAATATTCAAACTCATCCAAAATATCAAAATGTCAAAAGCAAATACTCTCAATACAGGTACTTCCCAGAAAACATGAGGGCCAGGGCCCATTATTAATACTTCAGAAATATCCTACTTCCTCAAATAAATACAGAAACTTCAAAGTACTGCTGTAAAAAGAAATATCGTGCCAAATTATCAAGCATGGAAAGCTCTTGGATGGCTTATAAATTCTTAAGGAAGTAGAGCAGTTGTACCATAGCTTAATTATGAAGTTTTACTATTTTAGTGTATTACATGTTTGATTAAAAATATACTTACTATAAAATTCTGCAAAACAGAAAAGAGCACAAAGAAAATTTAAAATCACTCATACTCACCAGGCAGAGAAACTTTACAGTGTTGCAATGCTTACATGAAAGTATTTTTCTTTTTTCTTTCCTTCTTTTTATTTATTTTGTGTGTGTGTGTGTGTGTGTGTGTGGTGTGGTGTGGCCCAGGGCCTCAACACATGCCAGGCAAATTTTCTACCGAGCTAGCTACACATTCCGAACCCCATGAAAGTATTTTTTATGTAATTACATACATACTGCTTCATAATCTAATTTTTTAACTTAACAAATCAGAAATTACTCCATTTCATTAAGAACTCTACTGCAAATAATTTATTTGAAAGTATACCTAAAATGGGTTTAAATGGGTAGACTTTCAAAAAATATTTTCAATTAGCAAGCAAAAGTGAAAGAAATGCCATTAACAATACTGTACTGAGATAGAATAAGATACGTACTCTCCTATACTGGAGACTGGAAAGCAATTCACCTTAGTTCTCAGAGAACTTTTTCAAGTTTATATATATTTATATATAGAACTTTTCCAAGTTTATATATATGTATATACACACACACACACATATATATATACACACATAAATATACATGTGTATATATACACATATATAAATGTACCTCCTCTGATCCAGTAATTTTACTTCTATATATCTAGTCAAAATATAATCAGGCTCAAATAATTTATACACAAGCTCATTTATTACAGATTTAGAATAGTCTCAAATGAAAATCACCTATGGAAAACAACTGAAAAATACTTAAATAAACTATACTATATCCACATGAAGGAATATTCTACAGCTACTCTTTTTTTAATTTTTATTTTTGAATTAGCATACATTAATAATACGATGGGATTTCACTGTGATAATTTCATACATGAGCACAGTATACTTAGAACAAGTTTACCCCCCCCATTGGATTTTCATTGCACCCCCAGCCACTCTTTTCAAAGAAAAAAAATGTTCTTGCTTTTTTGAGAGAGGTTCTTCCTTTGTAGCCCAGGCTACCCTCAAACTGGTGGTCTTTTCTACTTTAGCCTCCCAAGTGCTGGTATTTCAGATGTGTGCAACCATGACTTGGCTTCAAAAAACTTTTAATGGCAAAAGCTTTACGCATAAATGGAAAAGTTTTATGTATAATGTTAAGTGGAAAACTGAGACAAACTATGTGAATTACAATCATAAATGCAATGCTTCCAAATGTCTTCAATACTTGTCTCTCAGTTTGGTGAGAATAAGGAAACTGAAAGCTCCAAGTATCTCGAAATGTATTTAGGCTGGTTACAAATGCAGATCTGCTCAAAGATCTGGTTTAAGTCACTATGGTAAAAATAAGTCCATTTTACAAATAACCAGTCAACTACAGCAATTGTAACTTTTTGAGTGAATAAAACTTTATTATGTTTTATTGTCAGTTTCATTCAAGGAAGAAAGAAAAAGGAAGACATCAATAAAAATACTGAGTGGAAAATTCTTCTCAAGGAATAGAATTTATTTATTTTTTTGTTTTGTTTTCTGAGACAGGGTCTAACTATGCAGCTCAGATTGGCCTGGACCTCACAATCCTCTGCCTCAGCCTCCTGAGTGCTGAGATAACAGGTGTGCACCACCACGCTCAGCAAAAGGAATTTTGCTGAATTAGAATTCACAGGATCTATTTTATGCAACGTTCATATGTAAGCAGTGAAATTTCTGGTGAGACACTAACAAAATAGCAGAAATTATCCATAACAATACTAACATACAAAATTTACATTTGCTATACTTATAAAATGCAAAAAAGGAAAAAATACTATAATCTTTAAGTCCACTATGCTATATCCTACCCCTTGAAATAATCCATTTTCCTGAAATCTTGTGCATCAAGATATACAGTATTTATTCGAGTTCTTACCATTTCACTCCTTTCTATGACTGATTACTTTTATATATGCATAATTTTATCCATTAATTCCTCCTAGACTGAATCATTCTTCTTTGTGTTGCTAGGGATCAAACTCAGGGCCTTGCACAGGCTGGACAAGTATTTTAACCTGAGCATCATTCCCAGTCCTAGAATGAATTCTGTTAAAGACTAACATTGTGCCTTACAAAGTAGGAGTCAATTCAAAGTTTACTCTGTTACTGAAGATTTGAATCTTGCACTATATTTTTTTCTCATTCATATTTCTAAAACCTACAGATTTTACAAAATTATCTTCAGATGCTCCTAAAAATATCTATAAGCCAGGCATGGTAGGCACCCCAACACTGCAGAAGCTGAGGTGGTAGGATCAAGAGTTTAAGGCCAACCTGGGTTATATAGTGAGTTTGAGGCCAGCCTGAGCTACACAGGGAGACCCCATATCAAAAAAGAAAAACACAAGCCAAAAACCTTATGAAGTGTCTGATCTAGGATTGGGAAAGGCAAAATTAGGGAGAACAGTACAGTGGAAGGAATATAGAATGTGTGGTGGCAAGAATAATGTTTGTGAGGAAAAGGTTAGCTCTGCTAGGAACAAGTTGGAGAACTAAGAAATCAAAAAGAAAAATTTTACAAGTGCAGAAATAAGACAGGTAGCTAGTACAGTTTTTTAAAATGCTATGGGAAACAAAAATTTTAAAGAGCCCTGTCTTGAAAAAGATTGGAAAATGGGACCCCTCCAACCACCACCACCATGACAGTAAGGTATCAGCTGGTTAGACCCAAATAAAGGTTTGCAGTATTCCCCTTTTCATAAGATTACTGCTCTTCAATTTGCCACAGTCCCTACTAGTACTAGTCCCTCAGAAAATGAGGGTCATCTCTGTCATTCATCACTATGCTTACACTGTACCCATGGCTCCCTCAAATGAAGGAAAATGAAAGTTAACCTGAGAGGAATGTGTTCTTTAAGAACAATGGTAGGCCTCCTTCCCTAACCTCCCTCCCAAAGGACCTGACCCGCCTATCAAATATTCTGTTGCAAGCTAATTTCCTTCTTCCAATGTAGGTATGAATGTTAGTTCTTGGTTTATCCTGCTTATACCTTAATTTCATAGTCTTGTTTCAGACACAGGTGAAAACTTCTTCACTGCTAGATTTTTCTTTACTCTCCTACTCATTTTGCTCCTAATAGATCTGGTAAACTTCAATCATTAATTATCAGTTCCAAACTGGGTCTATTGGAATCGACAGTCCTGTCTATTACAGACAGTTGCATGGCATCTCTACAGTGTGGTCAGATGGTATACTAACTTACATTAAGTGGGGCCACATAATCGGTCTTGAGGAGCTGATCTACAGATGAAAGAGGAACTAAGTCATACATGAGAGAGGACACATGAGGAACTCAAAGACTAAGACTTAGCTAAAGTACAGAAGGAACCAGAGACTGGGACATACCTGCTCTTCAATCAATTCAACCAGGCTAAGACTGAAATTCAATTTGCAAAAATGTCTGAAGGAACAGTTGGGTGCCAGTGGCTCACACCTGCAATCCCAGCTACTCAGGAGGCAGAGATCAGGAGGACTGTGTTTCCAAGTCAGCCTGGGCAAACAGTTCACAAGACCCTATCTCAAAAATACTCAACACAAAACAGGGCTGGCGGAGTGGCTCAAGTGGTGGAGCACCTGCCTAGCAAGCATGAGATTTTGAGTTCAAACCACAAAACTCCAGTATCACAAAAAAGAAAAAGTCTTAAGTAACAAAAAGAAAGCCA